AGAGAGAGAGAGAGAGAGAGAGAGAGAGAGAGAGAGAGAGAGAGAGAGAGAGAGAGAGAGAGAGAGAGATGAGGTGTGATGATGTGAGGGCACGTACCTGGTCTTGGCGATGGTCTACAGGGTCGACATCTTCATGCACTTCGGTTGTTGCTGCTGATGTCAACGGGGAGCATTGTCAATTCGTAGGCTGCGAGTACCTGTGTAGTAGTAGTCTGGGCGTTGAGCGCCAAGTAGGAGGAAGGACAATGGATACATATGTTGGTGGTGGCGAGAGTATGCTCTCATTGACATTCGGATTCAGTGCTTTGGTTCTCCGTTGGTGCAATATCAGTGCATTTCTGCTTTCTGGACAGCGTTGGACTTGCTGGCTTTCAATGTGATTTTGCATTCTGGATTTCTGTCATTTGGCTATCTCTCATTTTCCTTCCACAATTCTATCCTACCCTCCATGCCCCCCATATTATTCTACCCTCCATGCTATCCTCCTATCATACCCCTGTACTATCCTACTGCTGGTCTATCCTACTCCCAACCCCCTGTATTATCCCATTCCCACACTATCCTAACCCTATGCTATCCTGCCCGCTACTTGCCATCCCACTGCCATACCTTTCTGTTGCCAGCCCGGTCGGTACATGCCTCCATACGTCAGCAAGTTGTAGACCTTCTTGAAAGATCCTCCATATGTCAGAGAGTCTCAGATGTATTGCAAATGTCCTTCAACCCCCATAGCAAAATCGAATGGCAAGGAGTGGGTGCAGCTGTCTCGAAGAAAAGTCGTAAGTTTTTGAACTTCCATGGGATGATTGCACTCATAGCATTTTTACAAATTCAAATAATATATTACCATTGTTTTACAGACTAAAACACTTTGTCGGTTCGAGCGAGTCGGGACGAAGTGTTGATTAGATCCCAAGCGAAATGCTCGAGCTTCCAGTCGCCTGGAAGTTCAGGATCCCACCTTATATACCGCGTGGTTGGAGACACCCAAGGCTTAACGATCTGGGCGCTGTCTCGGAGAGAGACTCGGTGAAATAGACATGTCTGTGAAGATGCGGACTACCTGCACCTGGACAGAAAGACCCTATGAAGCTTTACTGTTCCCTGGGATTGGGTTTGGGCTTTTCCTGCGCAGCTTAGGTGGAAGGCTTAGAAGTTAGAAGGTCTTATTTTTCTGGAAAGACTGGAGCCATCAGTGAGATACCACTCTTGAGAAGCTAGAATTCTAACCTTATGTCGTTTCCAACTAAGGAAAAGTCTCAGGTAGACAGTTTCTATGGGGGCCTAGGCCTTCCAAAGGGTAACTGAGGTGTGCAAAGGTTCCCTCAGGCTGGATGGAAATCAAAATCAGCCATTGAGTGTAAAGGCAAAAGGGAGCTTGACTGCAAGACTGATGAGGTTATTCATTACTCAAGTTGGAAAGCCGTGTGACGTACGACATCTTGCACGGTTTGGTGGGCACTTCAGTTGTCAGCAGGAAACCAAAATTGCAATTCAATTGTCATGACGTTGAATATTTGGAATCGTTGATTACAATTTACAACGAGTAGGGATCCTCACGCAGTAGTATTTCCTACAGTTAAAAAACGCCAGCACGTTAAAAAATTTAAAATCCAAATTTGTATCAGTTTCCAACTTTCCAATAGGCGCTTCCAAGAGGTTGCGTTATGGTGCGAACTTCGAAGCACAGAACGTAAGATCAGTGCCTTTCTTTTTCCACAGTGATCTTTCAGCTTGCCACTTTCATTGATTCCACGCGCGATGTGTTTTTTTTGTTGAGTTCCGGATACACAAAAACAAAAAAACAAAGGATGGTAAATGAAAACTGACAGTCGCAGCAACAAACAAGTCCGTTGGACCAAACTCCCTCTCCTCCTTTCTCTTCCTAAGCCCTCGCGTGCCTTCCCTTCCTTCTTGTTCTCCCTCTTTGGTTTGAGTTTGACTCTTCCTTGGTCTTGCTCATCTTGACAGGTAACTCCAATATACGGGCCCTGTGGACTGGACGACCTAAAATCTCGCATGAAATTTGCTGTGAAGACACTTGGGCAAGAGGATATCCAAAAAGTCGTGAACGATGAAGGTGGGTACTTGATTTCTCTCTCGTGCAACGGTCCATAAGTTCATCTTTGTTTGCCTGCCTCTCTCTCTCTCTCTCTCTCTCTCTCTCTCTCTCTCTCTCTCTCTCTCTCTCTCTCTCTCTCTCTCTCTCTCTCTCTCTCTCTCTNTCTCTCTCTCTCTCTCTCTCTCTCTCTCTCTCTCTCTCTCTCTCTCTCTCTCTCTCTCTCTCTCTCTCTCTCTCTCTCTTGCACACACACACACGAGCGAGGTACTCTTTCTGTGTGGATGGATGTGTTTTGTTGGTTTTTTTATTTTTATACATGGCCTAATTCTTTGCCCTGCTTCGTAGCACGGATTGTTTTCTCGATGAAGTAATGTCTGTTGGTGGCCAGGAGTGTTTTTCTGGGTTGGAAGTTTGGGGTTTTGGCCACAATATCTCTGTTAGGAGGCTCAGAGAGTGTTTGCTGTGGGTGTCATTAGCGCGGGCTGATCTTTCGGAGCTCATGGAAGAATGGGGTGCCTTCTAGTGTGTTTTAAGCAGTAGCGCTCCTGGTGTTGTGTGGAGATCTTGTGGAATTTGGCATAGTTCTCGCAGTGGCCTGGCTGTAGCACTAGGACATCATCCGATTCTGCAACTTGCGCAGGGGGGGGGGGGAGGTTCATGGCACTCTTGTTGCGTACAGGTGTTGCGGTGTATTTTTGATTTGTGGTGGCGTTGTAGGCCATCGCAGAGGGCTCTAAAAAATATTTTAGACCATTGGCATGTGTGGTCGGTGCTTTTTGTTAGTGGAGCCTTTTGTGTTATGCTGTTTTGTGGTGTTGTGGGCCGACATGGAGGGGTCTCCAAGTTCTTTAGGCCCTATGACGGTGGTGCTCGGTGGTTTCTTGCTGGTGGAGTCCTCTGTCTTAGGTAAGTTTCTTCTTGCCCTCCACCCTTTTATGTGGATATATATATATATATATATATATATGTATAAACAGAGCTGCCCGGTAAACCGTAGGCAGAGAGGGAGAAGAGGACAACAAACGAGGGGTATGCGTGCAAGTGTGCTGCTTCGGCGGCAGATGGGTGTGTGGGCACTTGGCGCCGAACCACACAAACGTGGCCAACCTTGCATTTTTTATGCTATTGTCTATCTAATGTCTATACTTTTTCGTTATGGATGGTTTGTTATGATTTGTGGAGGAAATGGGAGAGAGGATCCGGGGTGCTTTAACAACACACACACAAACAGTCTGCTAGGATTGCAGGGTTGGTGTGAGCAAAGCGGACTAGTTTTCTTGGGGCCATCGCTAATTCTGGTCCACTTTTCTCAGGGGTATTTTAGTAAATTTTACTATTTTTTGTAACTCTGGGCGAAATGGCGAGCCCTTATCCAGGACCATCAGTCAAATGATTCTGCCCAGACTGTCGGGGTTCGACCTCCTGTCGAGTTGGTGAAAGTCCGACGAAACAGTCTGGCACGGGCCGCCGCCTGGCGGCGCCTATGGTCGCCTCTTCAATCTCTCCGTGTGGCATATGAAAAAAAGCTGGTGGTGCTTTTTTTTGTTGTTGTTGAGTTGTGTATAGCGGACATGAGAACACACACACACACACACACACACATAGAAAAAACACACCTGTGGGGGAAGCCACCCACCATAGACTATACCTGCTTCTCGATTCGACTTTCTGTGTAACCGGACCCTTGACCGACCCACGGCATTTCACGTCAGTCCCGGCTGCTTGCTGTGCCGGTCAGGGGCTAATGGGGTCGTCCTTGTCCTTTTTTTTTTCACCCTCCCCCTTTATTCTACTTTTCCCCCTGTTCCACTTCCCCTTCCCCGCCCCTCTCTTCCTGCCCAGAACTAGAACTGCTAAATGCATCATTATGTGCATCACTAAGAGAACAGACAAAATACAAGGTGTAGACGGCCGGGTAGCCATCCTCTGCTCAAGCATAGACGGGGGAGCCCTTGCACCACTCAAAATACGGCAGTGAAACGACCGTATCGCTGAAAAACATCATCGCAAAATATCGCATGCCACACACAGAAAGATTACATGCTAACTCCGCTACAAATTCCGGTTACAATTACTATGCATGCGGCCGGGAGAAAAAGGGGCTGCAACGGAGATTGTTCAAAGCAACACGCAAACACTGACACATGCACAGATGCAAATGCAAGTGCTTGGGATACCACAACTGCATCAACACTAACACACGCCGATGAAAACATAGTAATATATACATTGTGATAGCTAGAAATAGGATTCGTCAACGCTAACACGGCTAGATCCGCTATACGTTTAAACGATTTTGGCGTAAAGCTAAAAGCCTAAAACTATTCCAAATACATTGATGGTCATTATTAGTAATTTATTACATAAATGAATACAACTATTATTAAAGACTGTATACCTTCGACAGTTCCGCAAGAAAAGAAAAAAAAAAAACAATTAAAAGGTAACCTACGTGGCCAATAATAGAACTATAAGCTAAAAGTTTTTTTACTTGTGCAGGGGGATGCATACAGAACAGATATGGGGATGCATACAGACAGATACACATACATCCAGACATGCATATCCACCACAACTGCATCAACGATTGGATACCACTATCGTCTTCACACGAATAGAACGCCCAGTCATTATAATTTATTTATTTATTGGGACCATTTCTCGATTTATGTGTGTCATCCTTGCGCAGGGGCCATGCTAATCTTCTCTGTATCGTTCCAATTTTAACGGATGTCCCGAAGGACTCCCAGTCATTTTAATTTATAACTGCATTCGGTGCAACTTTCAGTCTCAATGCAGAGATCATGACGGGGCCTTCTATTTAGGCCAACACGGTACGGCGAGGGGAATGCGGCCAAAGGGAGGAGGGCGGGGGAGTGGGGGTTGGAGTTGGGGGGGGGGGGTGATCAGTACGAGGGATTTCTTTCTCCTACGGTCCTACCCATCATTGCTTGAAGATCAGAGTGACTCACAAGTGCTCGCTTTCGTCCCCTGTCCAGTTTTCTTCTGCCTACTCACACATCGTGTGATACAGACATGTGCTCCGATAGTAGATAAAATTTGTGAGGGGAGGGGGGGTGTATGGGGTGGCGGAAGATATTCGCTGCAAGGCCTGGGCCAACCATGTTCTTGAGATCAAGGGTAGGGGAAGGTGCCCACATTCCCAGTCGCCGCCTCTGGTGGTCGAGGAACTAGTGAACCGCTTCCTCAGGGATAAACAGACTCAAGTCTGAGTCGGCAAACTTCAGTGCAAGACTGATTCTGCAGGTCTACACTGGAGGAGGAGAGTGTGAACATCCAGTTGCGTACTGAAGTTAGCATAATTACACAACTCTGCTCGGCCATTCTGCGTCTGCCAGCATCACTTTGAAATTGATCTTTGCAGGTTGGGTTGTTGTGTATCAAATTATCAATGAAGGAAAAGAGCGAGCGAGAGAGAGAGAGAGAGAGAGAGAGAGAGAGAGAGAGAGAGAGAGAGAGAGAGAGAGAGAGAGANGGGGGGGGGGGGGGGGGGGGGGTTGCAGAAAGAGACTGCAACAGCGAGTTTTCTGTGTGTGTGTGTGAGAGAGAGAGAGAGAGGCAGAAAGATACTGCGACAGCAAGTTTTCTCTGCTGGCTGAAACGTTTCGCAGTGTCTATTTTCCAAACCCGACACATATAAAGACAGGTTGAGCAGACACTGTGTGGTGATTTGGGCCTGCCTGGTTCTCCAGACCTTTGTCCATATCTGTCTGGACCATGTCTGGAGCAGACACAGTCTGTGTGTGACCATCACTTATTGCAAACAACAGCACGATGTATCTGCTAGTGATATATATGTGGTTGTATCTGCTTATCAGTTAGACCTCCTTTTCCTTGTGCTGTTGCATGCTTCCGTACTCTAATCAGTCATACATATATCGTGTTTGGCATCGTTTGGCTATGGTTATGGGATTCTAAATTGTACATTCCTATGGTGACTGACAGGTTTCCTTCAAGTCACGTGTGAGTTCTGCAACGAACTTGTCAGATTCGAGGAGGAGGACTTGAAAGCCGTTCTGGAAGAGATGAAGGAGGAAGCGAAGGAAACGTCAGAGCATGCAGGATAAACCAGCATCCACTGTTCCTACCGTTTTCACCTGAATAGAACGCCCGGTCACCATAGCCATATTTGGTGCAGCTTTCGGTCTTATATATGAGTCGGTGAAACTCCGACGAAACAGTTTGTCACAGCCCCTCGTTTGTTGTCCTCTTCTCTCTCTCTGCCTACGGTTTTACCGGGCAGTTCTGTTTGTGACGATATATATGGATAATGACCGTATGTTCTACGCAGGTGAAGATGGTAGTCAAGTGGAAACACCCTTCAAGTGGAAACACCCTTCAAGTGGAAACACCGACAATGGTAGTCAAGTGGAAACACCGTTAACCTTCAAGATAGCATGCACAACCACCATTGCACTGGTGGCAAATGTGATTTTATTCTGGTCATCTGATTGTATGAGGAATCGAACTTGGGTCTGTATTTCAACAGCGCGTTGTTGGTTGTACCAACTGAGCTAGTGGCAAATCATTTACGCCCATCTTCCTAAGTAAAGTAGTATGATGATTGCTTCATCAGCAAGTTTGACAGACATTGTAACTGACATCTCTGCAGCAGAACCCGCCCGCCCCCCCTCCCCCCCCCAACGCCTTACCCTCTAGTGAACCCTCCTTGTAATACTTTTATTGCAGCTTCGTTTCATTGTCCCTTTGTCTGGACTCTTTCTTCTTCTTCTTCTTCTTCTTCTTCTTTCTTAACTCACATCCTTGACCATAGAGACCACCACAGTAGGGTCAGTGCCTGACTTGAAGTCTTTTTTTTCGTTTGTTTTTGCCTTACATGAAGTCATAACGAGGTACTTGTAGGGAATATGTGACGTGGCACTGAATTTCAGGTGCAACCGGTCTGTGTTTTTCCTCCCCTCCCCGCTCCTCCCCTATCCCTCCTCCATTGATTCCCTGATGGGCTCCTGCATATCTTTCTGTCTTCTCACCGTCCTGGCTTGTACATTTTTTTGCTGCAATCGCCAATAATAAGATCGCCTGAGACTGGCTTGTCAAGGTCCACAGGTGCTGCCTGGGAGATGAGGTGGTGGGGGTTGTCTGGGCTTATGCCTTGCTCAGTGGAGTGGGACGTTCCCAATGAACCGCAGCAGGCCATCGACATTCCAGTGAGCTGATGAATCAACTCACAAGAGGCACAACTACAACAAATGAGTTGGCGGGATTCTATCGAAGTCAATCATCAATCAATTGTGATTTGCGATACGGTCGACAATGATCGGTTCATGTTGGCGCCAAGCGACTCACTGTCTGCAGTGATTTTTTTGGCGCACGGTGGGGATGACGATGAGCAGGCACGGCCTGGAAGGGCGGGCGTGCGTCGGCAAATCACTACCCATGGAAGGAATAGACAAACGACTAGTCCGATTCAGGCTCGAAGAAAAGAAAAGAGTGAGTGAGTGCTACACGTAATCCCCACGCCCTCATGGCTGGCGCGGCGATTACAGTTGCGCACTGATTCATTCCTCGCCTTTACTTTCACAAGCAGGATGTCAAAGATGATGAGCGATGAGCTGGCATTCTATGAATGATGAGACTTTCCTAGCCCATAGACAGCAACATAACGAAAGGAATTGACATGGATTCGGCACCGGCGACCTTGCAAAAAATCGCTGTGGGATGATCAGCTTCTGTATCATCCAGTATGATTTCAGATCCCTTCGCAGAAAAAAACAGTGCCAAGGAGAGGCGCAGAAGAGTACCAGGGTGATGAATGGGGTTTCTGAATCAGAACACAGAATCCAGATGTCTGGGAGGCATTGTGCAAAGGATGACATGCGCCTGATAGGTGAACATGCGCCTGATAGGTGACGGCAGAGAGAGAACGATTGAAGGCTAAAGTCTATGTAGAGTGAAGGAGTGTTGGGATGCCTGGAAGGGTTGAAGTTTGGACTTGGAGAGTGAGTTCAGATTGGCCAACCAACTGTGCTCTTGTTTCTGAGGGATGCCTGGAGGAGTGGGAGTGGAGGTGGTCTTACCCCAAGAATTGTTATGGATACATTTCTTTTTTTCCCCTAAAAACACACACCGCCCCATCGATTCTGGGGGAAATCACATTTCTTCCTTGTATATATGCAAGGTTGGTGGGCCATGACTGCTGAGTCTCTCTCTCTCTCTCTCTCTCTCTCTCTCTCTCTCTCTCTCTCTCTCTCTCTCT